CTTGCCAGGGAAGTGCTTATTCCACTGAGCCATCTTCCTAGCCCCCATGCTATTCTTCTTAACTTTGGACAGTTTTATGTGCACATGTTTTACAGTTTCAGTTTTTCCATGCAGGCCCTAAAGTTCTTCCTTAAGTTTTTTTCTCCCCTGAACCATTTTGTCATTGCTACTGTAACAGACTCTTCTTTTACATCTAAAGACTGTGGTTTCTCATTTGTCAGTGGTTAGTTTCCCAGTTTTCCTCCTAGAATGTGGCCCCTGCTGCCTCTCCACAGATTTTCCCCACTGACCATAGCCACTAGAAGCCACAGGATGCACCCAGCGGCTGCAGTGCCTGGCCATCATTAATAGGTTTCATTTTTCTAGAGGCCACTACCTGTGCTCAGTGTATGGGGCACGGCTGATGGTACCAGCTGGCCGGGGGCTTATCGTGATCATCTCCTCCCCTGGGGGTCTGCAGTACATGTTCAACGTCCCCTATGGTGTGGGAAAAGCTGCGGTAAGGACTTAGAGGCACAGGGGTGTGCAATGGGACACTAAAGGTACTTACAGTTCGGGTGGTACAGTCTCCAGTGGACCAGAGTGGTGAAGCTGGCTGACTTTCATCTCCCCCTCTGCCCCATCCCTGGACAGTTCCTCTCTTGGGCTCCCCTTGTTCTGCCAGAGTATGTATCTCATGGAGAGGGGGGCAACAGAGACCTCAGAGATCCTGGGAAAAGAGGGGGCCTGGGGCATCCCCACTGGTAGGAGGGAGGGGAGAGGAAGAGGGTGACATGACAAGTGCCCTGGCTCTCATTGTGCCTTCTGTTCCTCTGCAGTGCGACAGACTGGCTGTTGACTGTGCCCAAGAGCTACGGCGCCATGGAGTCAGCTATGTATCTCTGTGGCCAGGGATGGTGCAGACAGAACTGCTGCAGGATTATGTAACAAAGGACGAGCATCCTAAGGATCCTGTGTTCAGTCGGGTCAGTAAGGGGAGAGGAAGGGAAGTAAACAGTGCAGAGGAATTAGCCTGTCTACCCTCAGTATCAGTAAATATTCCCACTTCTCAAGTGCTTACTAGAGCAGCGTGCACAGAGCTAAACCCTGTGCACACATAATTTTAATCTTGTAAAGAAGATACTATCTCCATTTTATAGGTAGTAAAACTGAAATCCGGAGAGAATAAGAAACTTGTTCCAGGGCTGGGGAACAAAGCACGGTAGTATAGCATGTGTTTAGCATGTGCAGACCTTTGGTTCGGTTTGCAACACTGAAAAGGGGAGGAGGACAATATGAACAAATAAACTTGTTCCAGGTCACAAGTGTCACACCTGGAAAGGCCTCTGGCGCCCATGCACTTGACCCTGGCAAGAACTACCCCAGAAGGTGCGGACACTAGTGGGCACTCTCAGATCTCCACTTAGGAAAGGCAGCAGGTCCTCAGGTGTAGTGCAGGGCTCAGCTGAATGTGGGGAGGAGTGGCTGTGGCATCTGCTAAGACACGGGGTCCTGCAGGTCCTGTGTGAGGTCTTCAGTCTCTCTTCCTCCTGAACAGAAGCTGAAGAGCGGGAAGATTTGGGCAGTGCTCTTGGAATTAACCTTTCATATTTCAACGTATTTTTCAGTTTAAACGAATTTTCTCAGCAGCAGAAACCACAGAAATGAGCGGCAAGTGTGTGGTGGCACTGGCAACAGGTAAAGACATTAGGGCCACATAGTAACAAGAAAGGGTGTGGAGGATCTGCAGCCTAGTGGTAGCCAGTTTTGGTTTGGGAGGTGGTTGAGACTTGCTCCCAAGTCCTCTCTGGCTTTTGGGGTCTCAGAGAGTCAAGATGCCCTGTTTGAGGTTTGTGAGCTGGCTTCTGGGAATTGTGATGAAGAGAACAGAGAAAAGCACTTTTCCAGGTCCCCTAGCCCAGGGCCACAGAGATAGCTCAGTAGAATAAGTGCCTACCTCGCAAGTGCAGGGTCCTGAGTTCAATCCCTGGTACAAAAGTGATCAGGGCTCCTACCCTGTCTTAAGTCCTGGCCCACTGGGCCCAAACATTGTCTGCACCATTCCCAAACCCACCATCTCCAACTGTGTGTATGTATCACAGACCCTAATATCCTGAGCCTGAGTGGGAAGGTGCTGCCATCATGTGACCTTGCTCGACGCTATGGACTAAAGGATGTGGATGGTAAGAGCTCTGGTCCAGAGTAGCCAGCCTTGCCTGCCATTCCTTTCCTGCCCATGTCTTCCCCTCAGTATCTTCAGCCAGGGTTGGGATGAGGAGTGCAGAAGAGGTTCTGATCTCCTGTTGTCCCCAGGCCGCCCTGTCCACGACTATTTGTCTATGAGCTCTGCTCTCCAGCACGTCTCCAGCCTGAGCTGGTTGGCCTCCTACTTGCCTGGATTCCTTCGCATGCCCAAGTGGCTTATCACCCTCTACGCCAGCAAGTTCTGACCCTCCTGGCCTGATACCAGAGCTCCGCTTCTCTGCCCACTTGGGCTCTGATAATTGGGCCCAATGGAACAAAGCAGCCTTGTTCACCTACCACTGCCCTTGGTTTCTGTGGGGTATGCGTGGTGAGTTCTGGGGGCCTCTGTGTCCCTGGGATTTCTTTATCCTTAACTTTTACTTTTTGTCTTAGTATCAAAAAATACTCTGGAGGCAAATAAAGGTTCTCATTTCCCCTTCAGTGTGTTTGTGAGTACTGATTCTGTGCTTAGAAATATACAGTAAATACTTGGGGAAAAGAGTCAAAGGTACACAAATGCATAGGTTCTCAAAGGTTGTGTTCATAGGATAAGGTTCCTTATCTCCAACCCTGTTCCTGCTCCTCCCTGTGCTCAAGCTGGGAAGCAAAGTCCATTCATGACTAGGAACCCCCAGTTCTCTCTGCTTTTACCCCTCATTCCACCATCCCTTCAGGAATACCTGCTATCTAGCTGGGCCTGATCTTTGAGTGAGATCCAACACACCAAGGGCAGATTTCTTGGTATCCAGCCTCACTAGAGCAAATCAATATGCTCTGAAGATGACTTCTCCCCCAGAAAAGCCCAGGAAGTGATAGCGATGAGATTCTTAGCTTGCATTTTTAATCTATACTTTTCAGAGGTAACAGTCATGTGGCCAAGTCTAGCAGACTTGGAAGCATTGCAGCAAAAATTTTCTGGACTGGGGAAGAAGGTACTACTGGAATCCAGATGAAAGAGGACTAGCTGATGGCACAGGAACACTCTCATGGCATAGTGTCCCCTGAATGGTGCTCTGCCTAGCTGTTGCATGAGCCCTTCTGGGCTCCCTTGCCTGCTCAGCGACTGGCTACAGTGCCACCCAGTGCACAATGGCTTCAGGAGGCCAGGGGCAGCTCTCCAAGAGCTGCAGGTATGAGCTGCAAAAGCACACTGAAGGGGGCATCAGGCTCAAATCTGTAAAGAAGGTTGCGGGGGATTTGGGCAGACACTAACACAGTCAGCTGTAGAGACTTAAGCAGAAGGCTGGCTTGACCCGAGACTTGTATTTGAGGACGCTCACTGGGCTGAGGCACTGCTGATGCAGAAGAGGCAGGCGTGAAAGGAGCAGCAGGAGGTGGGCCCAATATCATTGCCAGGGATCTGATGGCAGTGGTGGTGTGAGCCCAGGAGAGACTGCAGGAGGCAGCAACTTGATGGGAGCTGGGCCGGTGTGGAACTGGTCTGTGTTATCCTGGCACTGCGGACCATGAGCCCAACAGCAGGCACAGAAAGAACATGAACAGTGAAGGAGAAGCCAGCTTGCCCCAAATTAGTCCCAGTGAGACACTGGGGCTTACTCCAATGTAGCTCACCCTCACTGGAGCAAATCAAGCTGCTTGTTTGGTCTCTTAAAGATGGGTTAATTCCCCAACAAAGCCCAGGGAGTGATGGGAGTGAGATTTTTGTGTGTGTATACACCAAATTGAACTCAGGACTTTGCCCTAGCCACACAGGCACTCATGCCATTGAGCTATATCCTTGGCCTGAAGATAAGATTCTTCGTTTGTTTTTAATTATATTTTTCAGAGGTAATGGTCATGTGGCCCAGAGTCTAACAGGCCTGGAAGAGTTACAGCAAAAGTTCTCCCATCCCTGCCCAGCATTGCTCAGTTCCAGCCCAGAGGCAGCCAGTACCCCCATACTCTCAGCCACAGAGAGTCCACACCAGTCCGGCAACACTGACACACACTGAAAGAAGGGAGCTGACCTCTAGCTGGCCTCTCTTGCCACCTGAGGGATTATTTTCCAGTTCTGACTGCCTGTTCTGGCTTTTGTGTCCCACCTCTCTAACTGAGGCAGCAGTCCCAGGCCCAGAGACCCGACCTCTCACAGGTCCTTGTGCAACTGTTCCCATCAGAAATTTCCTTGTCCCACTAGCAGCAAGTTTAACAAGTGTGTGATGGCTTCAGGAAGGGAGAACAGGGGGACAGAGGGCTGCTATGAATGCCTGGAAGTGAACAGCCCAAGCGGTACAACCAGGCCTAGTCTCTTACACAGCAGACTCAGAGCAGGGCTACAAAACACAAATCACACCTGCAACTGCTCAAGGGTCAGGAGTGGCCTCAGAGAGAGGCAGACAATGGAGCCTCTGCCCCAGGGTGTCCCCATGTGTGAGGCTGACCAGCTGCCCTGGGCCAAACAGAAAGATGCCAGAGGGAGGCAGGACTGGATCAAGGAGTCTCCAGGGTGAGGAACAAGTCATTGAGGAGTTTCCATCCAATGCTCAAGCCCTCTTTGAGCCCACAGGTGGGAGGGGAGGTCCCTAGCAGGCAAGAGAAGAGGAGAGGCGGTGTAAGTGATGGCTGGGGTGGGGGTTCAGGCCTGCAGAACAAGAGCTGTGCGTAAGGGCTCCACAAGAGCATGATCCCAACGACAGGGCAAGGGAAGGCCAGGGAAATATCTCAGTAGAATAAGCTCCTGCCTGGCAAGCACAGAATCCTGAGTTCAGTCCCCGGTACTGCAAAAATAAAACAAACCAACCAACCACAGAGCAATGCAAGGTGGATGGACCCAGAGCTGCTCTTTGTCCTTCCTCATCCCTGCTTCTACCCATCCTTGACCCCCAAAAGGCCTTGACAGTGTCTCAAGTTCACAGGAGCTATCTGGACCCTTTGGTCTTTGGGCCATCCCTTTATAGAGCCCCACAGAGACCTCAGATGTCACTGTGTGCAGCCCCTCCCCCATCCTTTCAGAGTCCCTGGTCCACACCCCCTGGTTGGTCCATCCCACCCTTGAGGCTCCTCTTCCTTTCCATCTCCTCCTCCCTCGGTCCTCTCAGCCCTCCTCTCTTTCCACTGCTCCTCATAACCCTCAGTCCCTCACCTACTTTCTTCCCCTGGCCCCTCCACTGCAGTCTTTTCTTTAACCTCCCATCTTGCAGTGCCCAGCCCTGGCAGGGAGGGGCAGACCTGCACAGGCAAGCCCGTGAGACAAAGGTCCAGCTTTGAATGCTTCCAGTTAGAGAACCATGGTAAGACCCAGGGTGGGGTTACCACAGCCAGGCTCCACCCCAAGCTGAACACAGCCTTTTTCTTTTCACATCTCACCTTCCTGGAGGGTTGCAACATTCTCACCCCTGCCATTCTCTGTCAAACCCCACCTCCCACCTCCAGAGAGCAAGGGCCTGGTCCGTCTCAGTCCATCCTATTTCCGGCAGGACCCCCCCAGCCAGATGCCCAACACACACACACACTGCGGTTGCCTCCTCCCAGCGGTCATCCTCACAGCTTCATGCTAAACTGCAGAGGTAGGATTCACCCCAGGACTGACCAGGGGCTAAGAAGCACCCCAGGCTGATCTTCCAGGTGTTACCAAACTCAGCAGACCAGCTTTAAAGCAGTGCAAACATATTTTGTTCATTAGCAGCAGGGGGCAGAGCTGAGCCCCATTCTGATGTGCGTGGAGGTGACTTGGAGGTTTTAAAAAGAGTGGATTAAACTAGCAAGGCCTGGGGGAGTCAGACTGTGATCAGGCCAGCTGTGTTTTGTTAGCTGGTAGTTATCTAAATTAGGATTGTCTCTTCACACAGGCTGAGAAAGAGGCCTTTTTCTTCCTGTTGATTATATTTAAAGAAAGGTTCTTACATCCTTGAGAGAGATGCTTCTGCCTGCGAGAGATACATATTACAACTGCAAGCTCTTTTTTAGTAAATGGAAGGCTGGGGCCTGTCGTCAGGTGCAGACTAGACCACACAGGAAACTGCCCAGCATCAAGCTGTCCAAATCAGGCACTTGAGACTGGGGTCGTCTAGGGACAGAGCCTTATGCTCCTAGAGCCGTGCTAGAGTTGGGTCATGTCTTCTAGTGCAGGGGTTTCGGCATTGCCGTTCTGAGAGGTCTGCAGTCCCACCATGTCATGGGTGCTATTGTCCACTGCCCTCTGCTCCAAGGCACCCAGAGGACTCAGTAGTGGGCTGGATTTATGGAATGAACTTTCTCCCAGCCAAGGCTCAAGTCCAGGTTCAGCTTGGAGTGAGGTCAAGAGATCACAGACTTGCCTGCACTTGATGCCAGAAGAGGAGAGGACTCTGTCTGCCTAACTCTACAATGGGGAACAAGGGGGCAAAGACCCTTCTGTAGTCTCTTGGAAATGCAGGTGTCTGTGTGGAATGCTGGGAAAGAGGTAGCAGAAGGAAATGGGGCAGCATTTTTATTTCTGTTAGCACCTATCAAGTGAGGAGGCCATGACACACTCACCTTTGTTAGTTCCAGAAGAAACAAGCAAAGCTGAAACAGTTGTGGCCTTAGGGTCCTTAGCATCCACAGTGGAACCGCAGGACATGCTGGATTTTAGGAGCTGAGAGAATTTATGTTTATAGAGCACCAGCAATGACCAAAACCTCAATTTTTCATCTGTACTATGAAGTAAGTACTCTCAGCCGAGGAAACTGAAGCTCAGAAAAGTTGAGTCACTGGGCAATGGTGCACATACCTGGAAGACTGAGACAGGAAGAGTGCACATTTGAGCCCAATATAGCCAATTTAGTGAGTTTCTGCCTCAAAAAGGGTGAGGGAGCTGTGGGTGTCACTCAGCATTATTTTCCCTTGAGTTTAATCCCCAGTACCACAAAAATAAATAAATAAATAAATAAATAAATAAATAAATAAATAGAAAAGTTGGTAACTAGACCAGGATTGCAGGTCTTTCAAGTACTGTGAAAGAGTCTGGATTCAAGTTGGTGTGTATAACTCCAAGTGTAAGCTCTTCCCCTGCTTCAGGCTGCCTCTGTTGCTTTATGTTTGTTTGGTTTTGGCTTTGGATAGCCTTTATATTTTCTGCAAAGGGAGTGTTGGGGATGGGCAGAGTGGTGAAAACATTCAACAGTTTACTCACCATAAAGACTTCCTGGACAAATTCAGTCTTGCCTTTTACTGCATTTGACCACATTTCTTTTTCTCCACACAATTCCACATGTCATGTCCACACGTTTGATAGAGCTATTAGCAGTGGTATTGCTAATCTCTGCAGTACCACTTATTCCCCTCCCCCAGCCCTGGCCCCATTTCTGCCTTCCAGTATGCATCCCATGGTTCCCATCTCAACCTTCTAGAAGTATTTCCTAGTCCCTTCTGCCCTTGTTCTTTCCCCTGCTGAAGAACTTCTTTTGACATGCACTTAGGGCTACACGAATATTAGAGTCATAAATGTCATTATCCATTTCCAAGTAAGGTGAGAACCCCCA